TGTTTAACTGTGTTTTTAATATTTACTTTTAAATTAAGAAATTAAGTAAGGTATAATACTAAAATTTATATTATATTCTACCAAACTTATTGACATAAATTCATGAAATAATAGTTCAATAAAATTTTGAATGCGAGTAAGCAAACATGATAACATTTTCTTTTACCCGTTAATTTCAGCCTAGCATTTAGCCCTAGTGACCTACTTATAACTTCATCCCCACAATTCTGAGCAGTAACCCTGACAAAATTAAGTTATGGCTTTTTATTTAAATGCTTTTATCAACCCCATTGTACTTATTAATTATCTCCTCTGACCTACCTTTCCCTACATCAGTAACCCCTAGGTGCACAACAAAAACTGCATCTCTGCTAGTCCCCTTTATTATATCTCCTGCTCTGTCAGTTATATCCTCCACCTGTGTCCTGAATAGCATAATCTAATTCTTTTCTCCCTATTTACCCCACAGACTATCCTATCCACATTCTTCTCTGACCCTTTTGTTTTCCTTCGCTCCAATAGTTTCTCATCTGCACAAGTCATGGACTGAAATCTCTTGCTCAATAGAATAGGCTCATTACAACTAAATCTACTACTTTTAGCTCTATTAGTATTCTCTTTAACTTCTTGAAAGTCATTGTTAGCTGATACATCCCTTATATGTAAAAGTTTAAGCTCCTCTTGAAATCCTGCTGCCATTTCCCACAGTTCCCCGTCTCTTTATCTGTTGATTCTACTTTAATTACAATAGCCTTCACTTCTCCTTAAACCTACAAACTCTATATACAAATTGCACATCTTCACTATTAGCTTCCTTAAAAGTAAATACCAGTACATAGTTCCCAAATACAACTCACTCATTCCACTCAGCACACCTAACAAACTATGAATGCTTAAGTCCAACACTAGTCTTAACCATTGTATTTACAGCCAGGAAATAAATACTCAATGTAAGTTCCAGTAGGCTGTTGCTAACACTGTTTTTCTTAAGTTTAACGTTTTAGAATCAAATATATTACAGTTTATCACTACTTTATGTTCACACTAAATTAAACAAGTTTATCTTTAATTTTACAGCAGTGACAAATAACTATTCATTACTTTATTTGATGTTTACATAATACTGATATCAAAAGTAATAATACAATGTATTTTGCCTGATTTATATTGCATCTATTGCTCTAAACTGAATTTAATCTAATGAATCTAAACTCAAGTAAACAATATAATCCTTAAAACAAGAAGAGACAATTAACTAGTCTTTAGATTGTATTTGTTTAGTAAAACAATGTATTTTACCTGTTTTACGATTTACCAGTAAGAAGAATTACAGCTAAGCTTGAAAGTACAAGTACACATCCTGAGCCTAATGTAACATTGTAATACAGATTATACAACTAAGCTTTTTAAAAGTTTAACCCTACTATTTTTATTTATCAATCTTACTAAATCTAGTTAGTCTTTTGTTATTCAACCCAAATCACTACAAAGGATAATATTAATATTAAATAATATTCAAAAATCTATAACAGTATAACATCTTGTCTTTCCAACATCTTCTCTATTCTTCAGCTATTTTATTATTATTCATATAAGCATAATGTGTTTCATTATGTCTTTGTTCTAGTATAAAAAAAATGATTTAATTATAACATATAGAATGAAAATGTTTTTAATATAAATATAGCTGTATTTTACTGAATGTAAAGCATGTTTTCAATCTATATTCTATTGGGAATTTTAAAAACACAGGAATAATATGTGCTTTACTAGACCAAAACAATACAACAAAGCACAACACTATAAT